CCAAATAGTGTGAAAGCGCTTTGAGTGTGCTGTAAAAAGCATAGAAAGGCGCTGTACAAGTAAAAGATCATATACAATTATATTAAAACATATATTTATATCAACAATTATAATTGCATTTTACCTTATTTAATCTTATTAAATATAATTTGATTGCAACATTCAGTTTCTGTTTAATACAGACGATAAAATTACCTTGAATTTGACAAAAAAAAAAACAAAAAAAAAACAACGCGCTTTTGCTTTGAAAACAGAAACGGCCTCTCCTTCAGTTATTTACTTCAGCTTGACTCATCTCTAAATTAAACAACTTTAAACGTTTATAAAAACAAGAGTTTTTCTTTGCCTACAAAAGCAACACGCGCTAGGTGTGATCAAATACCAAACAGGATGCCAGAATCATTCATTTAACACCTACTCGTTGTTTTTAAAAGACGTGGTTAAAAATATTAATAACTGTTTGTATGCTGATGTGGCACTGAGAGACCCGCCCCTCTTGGCCGTGACGCATTTCCGGGAAACAGCTTTTCTTTTCCGACACAGGTAAACATGGCGCCCCCCGTTCCGCTGCTAGCAGGTGGGTAATTTCAGTTTTCATTGAAATCTGTTGTTGTTTCTTTCTTAATGTTTACACCGACGTGTTACCGAGCAGCTGCGGGTAATAGGTGAAAGTCAAACACCGGGCACTCAGATTTCAGCGACCCCGATTATTGTCCGTTGTAGTTAACATGACTATTAGGCAAAACGCACGGTAAAATCAGGCATTTTTGCCAAATAGATGAACGCCTTAAAAGAAAACTATAAATGTCGTTAAAATCAGTAAAGCCTTCAGATGTATTCAGCCTTAATAAATTCCACAAGTAGTAACCCAATAAGACAAATCATCCTTTAAAGCTTGACCACGCTGTCCAGTCTCTCATGTCACTGCCTACCCCAGGACAGTGAAAATAAATAATGGTTGTTCGAAAGATGGTGTATGCGCCGAACCGAGAAGTATCACTTCTCGGTTGTGGAACCATATACAGTATGAAGTTATGGTGGTAGACTTCCCAGCAGAGGCATGAAAACTCAAAATGAATAGGTTTCTTAATGAGATTTGGCTATCGTCTCAGAAAACCGTGCGCCACAAATGGAGTCTTGTTCTCTGATGTTGTTTGTGCAGTCATGTCTCTAACCGTCGTCGGTCTGAGCTTTGCTTTTATCATAAAGTGCAGCCCACTGTCATCTCAGACAGATGTGCTCATTGATCAACTCTGATTGAATTAGTCCTGACATAATCATAGTTTCTGTTTTGCGTATTGTGCTTCATCTCCTTTAAAAACCCTAAACTGTTTCCACTTTTCTCCAGTGGGATGATCTGTTACTTTCCATAGCTCATAAGCCCAAGTTTGTGTACTGTGCTTTTGTGAACCTGGATGTGGATGCTTGAATTTTCTTCAGCAGTGTGTTCCAGATTGCATTTTTTTTTTTAAAAGATTGATAATAATAAAACAGTACATTTTGATTCCACTTTCATGACCTTTTTGGTGGGTTGGTATAGCGGCACAGCGGTTAGTGCTGTTGCCTCACAGCAAGAAGGTTCTGGGTTCAAGCCTGGGCCTTTCTGTGTGCAGTCTGCATGTTTTCCCTGTGCCTGCGCGGGTTCTCTCCGGGTACTCTGGCTTCAGCCCACAGTCCAAAGACATGCTGCTGCTGTATCATCTGCCTCTGCCCACAGAGCTCCAGCTTTGTCTGTTAAACACTGTTCCTTCACCACCATGAACACACACTGTAATTTACTATGACTCCATCCCATGCTGAAAGTGTGGGTCCATCCTGCGTCTGCTGTTTGTGTTTTCTCTTTCAGTGCGTGGCTCAGTAGGTACGTCTCTGCTCTGTGGTCCCCCAAAGTGTGAGCAGCATGCAGCCTTCCAGAGGTAAAAACACCTCAGATCATCTTCATCATACAGCCTCACTGTGAAACTGTCTGTAACCTCGCCCGTCCCGAAGTAAACAAACCTTCCTGTGTGTCAGGGATTCTGGGCTCAGCAGGTGCATCGCCTTCAGCAGAGACGGGACACTGTTTAGCTGGTGCAACGGACACAGGTAGCTATGGTGCTCAGTAATAGATAGATAGATACTTTATTACATACTCAAGGTCCAGATGTATAAATACTAAAAAAACAATAAAACCACAGAACAAATCAACAATGAATAACAATAAAAGGACAACAACAAGAACAACCAATAAGCAACTACCCTTTTAATCTGGTGGTTATTAATCATCTGACTGTGAGTGTGGTGTCTGGACCTGCCAGCACACTGGAGGTTTGTGAATGTTACGTTCATCCTTCTTATGTCTTGGATTATTCATATCTTCAACTTTCTGTCATGAGAGTCTAAATGCAGCACAACTCCACCCTGCTCACCGGGCCACGTTAGCCCAATGGGGGCTCCAGTTGAAACCCCACACACACTCATTTTTCTTAACCCGTGTGTCTAGAGTCCCACAAACCACTTCTGCTTAGAGTTGCTCAAGGATGGCCTGCATTACAAATGAATGAAGTCAAATAAGTTCAGTCTCATGTGTCCCAGAAGCCCATGGTAGTCTGTAATACATGTGTGCAATGTAGATGTTATTGTATAACATGTAAAACAATAAATAATTCCAAAGAGCCTGGATATAAAATGAGTTTGGGGCCTTTAAATATTTATGTAGGACAGTAAAGGTATGGCGTGACTGTGGACACAGGTTTCAACTTCATGCTTGATATTTAAATATGTATGTGTATCTGAATTGCAAAGTGATTGGAGATAAATATTTATCACACTGGGCTGTTTATTTTTTAACATTCTGAGGTGGTGCAGGGTGGAAATGTTCTCCTACTTGGGTTTCTGTGTTCTGTATGGCTCTGCATTTCTCTGTGGTTCTCGCATCTTGTCACTAATGTCCGTCACATCAGATCACATAGTTTAGCTGCAAAACTTTCCTAAGTCTGACTCAGTGAAGCAGCAGAGATGTCCTCAGTCTGATACAAGCTCCCACATAGTCTTCCTGTCTGTCTCTCAGTGTCGCTGTGGTGAAGTCTTCAGACAGCTCTGTGGTGGCCACCTTCGACCTGCCAAAAACGACCCTGCTGGACTTTTCTCCTCTCAACAACGTGCTGGTCACCTGGCAGCCGTACAGCAGTAAGAAACCAAATAGTCCGATCAGTGCGATGAGACAACGTGACAAAACCACAGAAATAGATGACAAAAGACCAGCTGAGATGACACTGAGTGAGTTTAGTGCAACCAAAAAACAGGAAACTAGGTCACATTATGACCTAAAGTGACCTGAGACAAGATAAGACGCAACATGGACACAGCTAGGATCAGGTGACATGAAAAACCAGGTTAAATAAGATGGGAGGCAGTTTAGATGAGATTAAATGAAAAGACAGATGACAGAAGCCAAGCCAAGACGAGGTGACACAGACTCTGGACCCTGTCAGAGATGTGGGATGGTGTCCATGGTCCTCTGAAGCTTCACAGTCTGATGACCGTGTGTGTGTGTGTGTGTGTGTGTGTGTGTGTTCTAGAGAGTCAGGACAGTCCTCAAGGTGAAGCCAACCTCCAGCTGTGGGACCTAGCGAATGCACGGCTCATCAAGGCCCTGTACCAGAAGAAGGTGGACACGTGGTCAGTGTGAACAGGTGTTGGTGCAGGGTTCTACCTGCTCAGCTCATCTGTGTTTTATTTAGGTTTTGTTTGTTGCTGCCATGTGACTGTGCAGACAGATTCAGATGATGATGTTTGACCTGTAGTCCAGGTATCATCTGTGCTGACGGCAGCAGGTACAGTGGGTACGGAAAGTATTCAGACCCCCTTAAGTTTTTCACTCTGTTATATTGCAGCCATATGCTAAAATCATTTAAGTTCATTTTTTTCCTCATTAATGTACACACAGCACCCCATATTGACAGAAAAACACAGAATTTGACATTTTTGCAGATTTATTAAAAAAGAAAAACTGAAATATCACATGGTCATAAGTATTCAGACCCTTTGCTCAGTATTTAGTAGAAGCACCCTTTTGAGCTAATACAGCCATGAGTCTTTTTGGGAATGATGCAACAAGTTTTTCACACCTGCATTTGGGGATCCTCTGCCATTCCTCCTTGCAGATCCTCTCCAGTGCTGTCAGGTTGGATGGTAAACGTTGGTGAGCAGCCATTTTCAGGTCTCTTGCTTCAGTGGCATTTTGGTCTGTTTCACCCAGATAGATGAGTCGGTGTGAAAATGTGGGAAAGATGGTCAAAAATGTGATTTAATGTGCTTCTCTTAAAAGCAGTTGTAGGTTTGGTGGTTGAATAAAAATGGGAAGGAGAAAGCTGTGTGACCACACAAAGCAGTTTTGAGTTTTGAGATTCAGTAAATTTGCCACTTCCCCTTTTTTTAACTGTCTTCTTTTTTATGTGGTGTCAAATCTGTGAAAAAGAAAACATTTGTTTGTACATGACCCGGTTGTACTTTTCCTCAGATGCCTGGTAATATCTAACATCTTCAGAATGAATCTAAATGGTAAATCATAATAATGTGGTTTATGATGACATATGAGTGCACTTTTCAAAGTACTCTACATCAGGATATTTCATTCTGACTGACAAGATGTACTTAACATGTACTTACCAAACAAACAAAAACACTATCTTTATAATAATGACCCTCATCAGTCAAATTAAATATTCTTCATATTTTATATTAGAAAACCAGACAGGAAAATGTTGTTTTTACTGCGCCAACCAAACCAGTGCTTTCAGATGAAGACTTTTAAAGTGTAGGTGAAAACTAAAAATCGACAGTATGAATCTTTCATCACAGGAACTCACAGGAATTGCACATTAAATAGTTTATTATTGAAAGAAAAGTGGATGAATAAATCAATTATAAAACAAACACAAGTGAGAATACATGGAGGACTGCAGACTTAATCTAAACGATATCCGGGACTCACCGCTCAGCAGGGAGGGATTTCATTCATGAAGTGCTGGAGGAAGAAATGGGAGGATGTCTGACCTTCGCTCCCATACTTATGTCTGTGACAGGAGGAGCAAAGGGTCTGAATACTTATGACCATGTGATATTTCAGTTTTTCTTTTTTAATAAATCTGCTAAAATGTCAAACATTCTGTGTTTTTCTGTCAATATGGGGTGCTGTGTGTACATTAATGAGGAAAAAAATGAACTTAAATGATTTTAGCATATGGCTGCAATATAACAAAGAGTGAAAAATTTAAGGGGGTCTGAATACTTTCCGTACCCACTGTATGTGCGTCACGCCATTTAATTATCATAAATGAAATACATTTATGAGTTCTCCTGCAGTTTCTTCTGCACTGCTATGTTGGAGAACGAAAACATGGAACATCGTAGGTCAGTAAAAACTAGTCTCTTTGTTAATAACTCACTGAGGAGGCTTGTTCATGCCTCCTCCTCTGGTGCACAGGACCCATACTCTTCTACCCAGTCTTAAGTAACACCAGGGCCCTGTACCATGAGGTGAGGTCAACTACAGCTTATTCATCTATTTTGGGCTCAGCTCAGGTTTTGCGGTACCACAACCACTTTTAATCGGGCCAGATCACCACAGTAACTGATGCAGCACAGCTAACCTGCTCTGGAGCAGATTAACTTCATGGGATGGGTCCAAACCTGACCAATCAGATCAGTGGAAACGCTGAGGGCTTGTCCATACTGGATCCTGACAGGAACAGAGTCTACATTAATGTGATCATTAAGAGATATTTCTACAGAGCAGTCACATGGTTGTGCTGTTTCAGGCTTTCCTGGGACACTGGTTTAAAGCAGAGTGTCCGACAGACTCGGAGTCTACGGCCTCCGCGCTGATCAGAGCTGGGGTTTAAATGCAGAGAGATGATTCGACTCCTGACTGTGTCGACGTTTTTACCACAGGCTGTGTGGTACCACTTATCCAGGACAGCCAGTGTCAGGCTCAGTGATGCCAGATAACCCCAGGAGAGGCAGGCTAAGTTGAGCTCGCTTCATGGTACAGACTCCAGGAGCTCTGCAAGTTTAGTTACAACACAGGTCGGCTGTGGCTGCGAGCACCAACAGTGATAGCGACTGTCAGTACGTCCTGATGGCCAGAGCCCTGTGTTTAAAGGGGATGAGAGCCATGAATATGTTGCATCACCATGTACTGTTTGTGTCTCTGAGTGCGCCCAGGCACGGCGCTGACACTGTGGGCACAGCTGATTTACTTGGTCTTCCCAACAGCGTGGTGTATCGTGGCCTGAATGTGTGCGACTGTCTGCAGGTGTCCCAGCTGGTCCGAAGATGAGAAGATCTGTGTGAGGAGTGTCAACAACGAGCTGCACTTCTACGAGAACAACGACTTCAGTAAGAAACCAGACGGAACCAGAGCTCGGTCCGGTGCTGGCCGGTGCTGCATTGTCTCCTGCTCTCCTCAGAGGTTTCTCCAGGGATTGTGGGTCAAAAGTTACAAGCTGTTTTCTTTGTGCACACGAGGTGCAATTCACCTAACAAATGTGCCAAATTAAGCAGGTAAAAGTTGGTCTTTCCTTGTTTGTGCAGGACTCATTGTGCATTTGCTTCCTCACTGTCATGCTGAGTCTTGTTAACCTTAGTCGTGTACTCACGGCAACAGCTGCACCGGTGCTGGGTTGAACAAAGACGTACACTTTCATTGGTTATCAGTTAAGTTGCAGACCAGTAGGAACAGCTCAGAAATAACCAGTCTGAGTCTGAAAAAGTCTTCACCAGACTCTCTGCTGTTTTTCTTTTGCTTCACGTCACATTTTTGAACCCACTGAAATCACCTTGTTGTTCCAGACACCATCGCCAACAAGCTGCGCGTTCAGAAAGTGTCTGACTTTGCCTTGTCACCTGGAGGTCAGCCCAGCAAGGTGAGCAGCCTGCAGCCTTCACACAGCACAGAGTCTGACGTCTAAACGCTGACCCGTCCCGTTGGCCCTCTCCAGGTAGCGGTCTACGCCCCAGGCAGCAAAGGAGCCCCTTCCTTTGTTCGTCTGTACCAGTACCCAGTGCTGGGAGGACCGACAGCTGCCTTCGCCAACAAGAGCTTCTTCAAGGCCGACAGAGTCACCATGCAGTGGAACAAGAAAGGTGCAGGAGCTCAGTTGTGTTGCAGACAGGAAACCAGTTCCTCCTCAAGCTGTGCGTTGATAACCCCCGTCTGTGTTTCTCACTCTCAGCCTCAGCAGTTCTGGTGACAGCGAGCACTGAAGTCGATAAAACCGGAGCCTCATATTACGGCGAGCAGACGTTGCATTACCTGGCTGTTAACGGAGAGACCGCTCTGGTTCAGCTGCGTGAGTACTCTCATTGATCAGTGGAGCCGGTGATACTGCAGATTTCATACCACACTGTTGTGATCATTTGTTGGAAGTGTGTTGGACACGCCCCTTTATTTCTCGCTATCTTGATGGATTAATCCTTAAACATTTGATATGAGTACACTCACCCAGTCTAGAAATTCTCTGGAAGAAAGTAGGCCGGCCTCAGGTGTAAAGTACTCAGAGGTTAGTCTTGGGGGCACACAGTGTAATGAGAACAGTGAGAATGTTTCATTTTGTTCATTCTGATTTATTGATTCTAAGGTTTTATCTGTGTATGCGTGTTCATCTATCTGCGTACACTGGGTTAAGCACTTGGAATTCCTTTTTGTGTGTGCTATATAAATAAACTTGCCTAGAAACTGGACTTTGTCTTTCTCCAAAGAAACATGTTGCTCATTGACAAACTCTTTTCTTTCTGGGTTTGAAACAGCGAAGAACGGTCCCATCTATGATGTGGCGTGGAGTCCGAACTCTGCAGAGTTCTGTGTGGTCTACGGCTTCATGCCAGCCAAAGCCACCATCTTTAACCTCAGATGTGACCCGGTGTTTGACTTTGGAACTGGGCCACGAAATGCTGCCTACTACAGGTGAGAACACACCTGTCCTTTGTCCAAATGTGACGTCAGGAGAAGCTGATGCTACCTGTCCTTCCTGTTCACAGTCCTCAGGGCCACATCCTGGTCCTGGCTGGCTTCGGGAACCTGCGGGGACAGATGGAAGTCTGGGACTTGAAGAAATATAAACAGGTGAGGATGAACAGCAGCACACACTTTAACAACACACGTTATGAGCTAGCATGAAAATCAGCTGATAGAGTTTGCTTCTTTTTTATTAATCAGTTTTTTTAGGTTTTAACCAGCAACGCAAAGTCACACCACAGATAAATGCTGCAGGACTGGATACAAACGTTAAAGCTGCATTAACTCAGGTTATATAACACTGTCTCATAAACCCAGTGACAGTGGGACAGGACGTGGTGTCTCTCAGCTACACCCCCCTCCATGACCCTCTGCTGCCTACAGCCTCCTGGTGTTATTCCAGCTTCTCCACCCTGTGTTGTCAAAGTACGGTCTGTAAATCAGCCCCGCCTGCCGCCTAGCCAAGGTTAGAAGAAGGGTTTTTCCAGCCAGTAGTCATGTCAAACAGCCATGGAGGAGCTCTGGGCGGCTAAAAGTCTGAACCAGCGGCTACAAAGTGAAGAGGTCACAGCAAACCTCCTGGTTCTTCTGTGACAACTGGTCCTTTTCAGTCTTCCCTGTGTGCTTTCAGGTGTCCAAACCTCAGGCTCCAGATGCCACACATTTCTCCTGGTGTCCTGATGGCGAGCACGTGGTCACGGCGACCTGTTCTCCTCGGCTGCGGGTCAGTAACGGGTTTAAGATCTGGCACTACACTGGCTCTGTGCTGCACAAATGGGATGTGGCGCCTGGCGCAGAGCTGTGGGAGGTCCTCTGGCAGCCCTTCCCCGATGGCAGCTTCCCTGAGAGGGCTGTGAAGTACCAGGCAGAGCCCAGTAATCTAGGGTCCACACAGGCCCCGCCCACACAGGCATACCGCCCACCTGCACTGAGACATTTGCCAGCCATGCCCAGCACCAAACTGGTGAGAAAACAATGCTAAACTGGTTTCCAGGGCTTAGTCTGTTCACTGCACTACCTGACCCTTAGAGCAGGAACTATGGAGCGTGAGGACACCAAGCTCGTACCAGATGATTATGATGATGAACTTCATTATGAAATGTGCTAAATACAGACGAATAAAGACACAAAGATGAACATTAGAAACACAACAGAGACACATCATCAGAGAACAAGGTTTTATTATGATGATTGTTAATGTTATAGCTCTTTAAATGCCTAGAAATAAATTAGACACAGAACTCAAATGGTCATCCTCATATGGCAGATTTAACCATTTTCTCTCCAGATTTTATGAATGTCTCTGTTTATTTCGGCGCGACACGCTGTCCCTGTCTAGTCCGGGTGAACTTCCTATTCACCTGTGTGACATCATAAGATCAGACACACTGCGGTCGTTCACATTAACCAACAGCTCCTCACACCTGAGCTGCTCCACAGAGATTTAACTTAAAACCACAGGCTGCTGCTGTTCATACACACCTATCTGTCTCTCACATGCACCTGTCTGTCAGCACGAGGAAGAGCCCCCTCAGAACCTGCACCCAGGTGTGTCTGGGGAGAAGATTCTGTCTAAATCAGCTTTGAAGAATCAGAGGAAACGAGAAGCGAAGAAAGCTGCCAAACAGGTGAGCAGACTGCTAACTGGTTACAGTCTGTCTGTCATATACTTCACCCAGAATGCTCATCAAGCAGACATTACATTAAAGTGAACCGTCAGCAGTGACACAGCCCAAACATTAACGCCACGTTTCCATCGTCATTTCTGCTAGAAAACGCCAAAAAATTATGAGATATGCAGTCAAACATCCTGAGCTGGGTAAGAACATTAAAGTATTGTTAAATACGATTATTAACAATTCCTGAGTCAGACGTGTGACGTACAGCACATAAACAACAGGACTTGTGTACTCGTCGTCTTCTGAAGGTTCTGCTGTTCTTTGCTAGGTGGTTGTGCTGAAGGTTACGACCTCAGTCCCTCATGAAAGTGTAAATAAGTTTGTCTTTTAGTAACAAAACTTTATTTGTTTTGATGTAACTGTTTTTACATGATCATGTTCTAAATGAATCTATGATCCTAACAACGTGGACGCAGCTATGAGTCGTGTGTTGTTAATGTGTGCACTGTTGATGTGACTGTTTGCTTCTGCAGGAGTCAAAGTCTGAACCTGAGCTTCCGTCTGACCTCACCCCTGTCACCAAGAGCCAATCGGAGCTGAGCAGCGGCGACCCAGAGACAGACAAGAAGATAAAAAATTTAAAGAAGGTGAAGATGACGTTGTCTGTGCTGCGGCAGGGTGCATGATGTGTGAGGAGGGCGGGGCTTGTTGAGGAGGTCTGGAGTGGCATGTTAGTGATGATCAGTGGCTGCAGGTTTAGACTGACGGGGTCAGGTTTGCTCTGTGTAGGGATGCATCAGTACCGCTTCTTTACAAACCGTGTATGGGTACTG